CCCAGTCCATAGTCCAATCATATTTCACCCAACTGTCAGGTGGGAGACATCTTCAAAAATCATCATCAGGATGGAATGCTGGACAGTTGGCCTTGGCGGGAAACTCCCTTCCTTCCACATGCGCAAAGAGATGGTGAGAATCAACTCCCTAATAAACCGTCCTCCAGTACAGAATGATTCCCTTCCCAAATACCATGCTCCCCCTCTCCGTCTCAATGGCAGCCGAAAAGCAGCAGCGAAGCAGAGGCTGACAGACCACCATACCACTACCGTTTGGCCGAACTGGGCCGAACTGGTAGGAACCCAACACTGGATGGAGCCCATCAAGTGGGTTATTTGACTGATTGCTGTTGCTGGTGGGTGGGGTGGTGTTGGTGTTATTGTTTTTATTGTTGTATATGGGTTTTTAATTTTGTTGTTGTTGTTAGTTGCGAAGTCGTGTCCGACCCATGGACAACACTCCTCCAGGCCTTCCTGTCCTCTACCCTCCTCTGGAGTCTATTTAAGCTTCAGTATGACACATTCTCCTCAGGCAACTTTTTTGCAAACTGCCCCAAATCACTAAAAGTGAGTGGACGGCCATATAAAGTTCCCAAAATAAACAAATAAATAATTGGGCAGGAGTTATTAGCTATTTCGATTTAAACGGTCTCCTAGATAAAAGCAAAAAGTTGCAAAAGCGTTTTTCAAATTAAGCTTTTAACCGATATATTCTGTTTTGGATTTGTGATAGCAGTAGTGCCTTTACTTGACTTTTTATGGTTGTTAATGCCTAGTTCCGCCCAAGTGGATCAAAGCAATTTTCAGTGTAATTATATACGCATAGCAGAGTATTATAGCCAGTCATCTCAGTCTAGCGAGCCATGGGAGCAGCAACTGGCTATACGCACAACCTGTGCCTTTGCAAATAGTTTCAGGCCAAGGTCACAAGTTGTGCATAGAAACTCAGTGGGAATGTAAAAATGATTGGTTTGTTATTGTGAAGTTGCGCAAATGATCCTTTGCACATCGACAAAACTGGGATTTTTTTAAAACCCGCACATTGACTTTAGTCATTGTAACCGTTATTTTGTTTTAAAATTTTCTTTTATATATCTCAGTATTTAATTTCACTGGCAATTTATCTTGAAAAACAACCTGTTGTCTGAACGCAAGAAATGCAATCTGGGAACTTTCCATTACTTCACCGTTTTATGGCTTGATTAAGCTGTTATTAAGCAAACCTGCCAGTGTTGGGTTGCCAATTTTTTTTACTACCGGTTCGGGTGCGCGAGCTTCTGCACATGCGCAGAAGCGTCTGGGCAAGTGGGCGAAGCCTCCCGCCGCCACTACTGCCAGTTTGCCCGATCCAGGCTGAACTGGGAGAGACCTACCTCTAAAACACACGTCATAAAGTGAAAGGCCATGATTGTTAACCAAACCTATTGTTGGCTATGGGGTGCTTTTGCTAAAAAGTAGAAGTAAATGGCCATTTTCAGAAAAGAAAAGGAAAAAAAAACCATTGCAAATTGAAGTCACATGATTGTGGATGCTGCAAAAGGCTATGAATGAGAGCATCTAAAATGTGATGTGACAATGGGGAAGTGGGGACAGCGTCTTCAGAACTGATCTTATAAGTAGCTTTTTGGGGGAGGGTGGTCTGTTCTAACAAGACACTAAGTGACCGGTTGTAAATTGAGGACTTCCTGCATAGTTAGTAAACTAATGTGCTTGCAGGCCTAACGAGTTCAATCCCTGATAGGAGGTTTTATGAATGGAACAGAATAACATCTGGCTATCTACTTCTGACACTTCCCAAACAGGACGAAAATTCCGCTTATAGTGACTCCTGCTGGTAAATGACATTGAACTTGTATGAATGACACATATGCACAAATAATTTGGGGGATGAATATAAAGAGGTTGGAAAAATCAGGGAACAAGAATGACTTGGAAGTTTGGAAAGATCTTTATGGCTAGTAGAGTAAAGTCACAGAAACTTCACTTGAAAGCCTCGTAAATTAATTCTGCACAGCCTATAATTAAAGTGGAGACCCTCAATTTCTCCTCCTCAAGGTCCTTCTCATATTTTACTCATTCCCGGGTTCAAGGATAAGATTTTGCGAAGGCCTTGTTTCCTCTCTTAAATGTCTTCCAGCCTTCTCTGTGTTCTCTTTGGTGTTTCGTCCCACCTATTACAAAGGTTTGCAGCTGTAGGCTAAATAAATATATAGTAAATGTTTGCAGAGGACTCTGAAGGCTATATATCCCAGCAGAAAGCCTTATAAACTGGCAGTCCTCAAGTTATGATCATAATGGGCTGTCCATTACAATTTGAATGAACTTTATGAATGAATTTTAAATGAACGTACGACAGTTCATTTAGTGACCGAAGTGACAACGGCACTGAAAGATGTGAATTACGGCCACTTTGTCAGACTTATTAGCAATCTTTGCAGTATCCCCATATGATTTACATCCGGGTGCTTGGCAACTAGTTCATACTTATACTTCATATGTTGCTGTGCCTCAGGGTCATGTGATCCTCTTTTACCAGCGACAGGTGGAAACTAATCAAGGAGAGAGGCAAGCTAGGACTAAAGGAATTTCCTGACCGTGAGAACAATTAACCAGTGGAACAGCTTGCCACAAGAAGTTGTGGCTCCTCCAAACACTGGAAGTTTTTAAGAAGAGATTGGACTGCCATTTGCCAGAAATGGTGTAGGGTCTCCTGCTTGAGCGGGGGTTGGGACTAGATGACTTACAAGATCCCTTCCAACTCTGACAATCTGTTAAACAACTAGAAGGCCACTAAGTGAATTTAATGATCCCCACAATCCCTGCTCTCCCAAACCATTCATTAAACCAGTGGTTCCCAAACTTAACAACTTTAAGACTTGTGGACTTCAACTCTCAGAGCTGGCTGGAGAATTCTGGGAGTTGAAGTCCACAAGTCTTAAAGTTGCCAAGTTTGGAAACCTTTCATTAAACAAATGTGGGGGTTGTTAAGTGGGCCATGTGATATCTCAGGCATGGAGAGACTAGGTGTAGGCACAAACCCACCTTCCTTGGGCCTGCCAAGGCCTCCTTCCCTCTCTGACATGTCCCATGCTCTACTCCCCACCCCCTTCGAGCCCCCACAATCATTTCTTCTATAGCTAGCTACAGTTCTGCCAAGGTTGGCCTGGCTGGAGGAAAGTAATAGCTAGCTTTTAGTTAGTTTTAGCCAGGGGGAAAAAAAATTATCAGGGTTTTCCTTCTCTTGCTAAAAGCTAGCCTTAGCCTCTGCCCAGCTAAGAACTTGGCCAAGTTTGTTTTTCACCCAGAAAAAGATGGCCCCTTGTGGGATTGTGCCCCAGCAATGGATCCACTCGCCCCTCGTTCTCTACCCCAATCGCCTGAGCTCCGGAGTTCTGAAAAGTGAATGAGTGGTCAGTGATGGGAAAGGGGGGGGGAGAGTGTGTGGAGCAGTGGAGTAGCAAAGCAGTTCCCGGGCTTATGCGGACCTCAAGGGACAGGATGGGAGAATTACTCGGTGGGGAGGTGCTGTTGCGTCTCTGCAGTCATGAGGTCCTAAACCAGGGGTTTCCAACCTTGGCAACTTTAGGCCTGGAGATCTTCAACTCCCAGAATTCTCCAGCCGCACCGATTCCTAAAAGACCACAGGAATATTGCAGCAGAAGTTAATTTTGGATCAAAAATACCTTTTGGGATTATGTTGTAATGTAGAATACTTCTAAGTGACTGGTTGTTAGCTGAAGACTGCCTGCAATCTGAAAATAGAAAGGATGCAGGTGGAGTTCTTAATAATATATGCAAACTACCGTACAAGTAGCCTCAATTTAAGACCAGAATTGAGATCACATTCCTGGTCATAAGTTATTATGATTATAAATTGAGGCATTGTGAGTTGGCTGTTAAGCAATTGCAAGGGCAAATGTTTTATTTTGAGTGGGAGTTTTTGTCAGAAACTAGCAAAAAAAAAAAAAAGCCACAAATCATGGTTATGTAACAACTGATCATAAAGATGAGCCATCTCTCCATTTGTGTGTCGTGTGCGTGCAGGCACATGTATATGGGCACACTTGTTTTTATGTGGCACATTTTATGATGTCCAGATGTCCAGAAGTGCTTTACAGGCCATTAAGCATCCATTCTGTTGCCCTTCAGAATTTCAAAGCACCAATAAATGATTGTTAAATCGAGATTTAACATCTTGCTGGAAAAGGTAGCTTGCATTCGTTTTACATTCCTTTTTTTGGAACCAGAAAGCCAAGTAGGAGCAGATTTTGGGATGCAGAAAAATGCAGAGCCAACTTGCAACGATCATTTTCAATCACTTCCTTAAAATATTAATTACACCGTTCAGGAAGAATGCATCAAGATTTTCTTCTCACTCCATCCCCCTTAGGCCTCGATAATATTAGATAGATAATAATTGTCCAGGAAGGACAAATATAGCTAGATAGCTAGCTAAACTTAATTCTGTCACTTTAAATGTACACTAATTGGCATACATTAATACAATTTCGTTGGATGCAGATCCCATTAAGTCTTCACTGCAATCATGGTTCCTTTTTGGTGTTTTTAAACTTTTGATTCATGGCTATTATTTGAGACTTGCAAAACCTATATAACAACTCCCCGCCGGCGGGAGAAAGACGATGGGCGGAGCTAGCACAGGCGGGGGAGGCAACAGTAGGCGGGGCCTGCAATTTGGCATTTCTGCCGCTTGTTTTGTTAGTAGGCGGAGATTGGGGTGAACCCACTTTGTCGAACCGAAGGGGAGGACGGATGTCTCTCGGTTCGACCAACCGAACCTTGCCTTTAACCGATCCGCACGTTTATCAATACACACTCTGCCCCATTCAATGAGAGAGATAGGAAGAGGCTTTCGGGACGTCCCAAGCGAACGAGGGGCGCCCGCTCCCGACCCTCCTGCTTTTCCTCCCCCCCTCCGCTGGCCGGAGATCGTCCATTCTAAAGAGCGCGCACCTCTCCCACGATTCGGCGGCTGTCTGGGCGGTTGTTAGGGGGTGGGGGAAGCGGACAAGGTGATCCGGGGGTTCGGCGGGCTTTCATCGCGCTTGGAAGCCGAAGCGGCTGCAAACGCCGGGCGGGATCATGGCGAAGGAGGAAGACAAGGGCGAGATGAAGGTCCCCGAGGAGATGTTCAAGGATGTCAAGTTCTTCGTGGTGGGAGACATCGACTCCAAGGTAACCGAGGGGAGATCGCCGCGGAGGGGGGCGCGAGCTCTTCCGCCTCCTGGGCTGTTCCTCCCGATCTTCCTCCCCCCGCAAACCTTATTGGGACCAAGCGATGACAGCGGCTCGTGAGGCGGGGGGGGGGGGGAGAAGGGAAGAAAGCGCATGCGCTCTTGCGAGAACCCTTTCCAGAGAGCGGGACAGGGGGGCATTGTTGCCCCTCGCGCGTGCTGGAAGTGGGGGAGGTTTAGGGCAGGGAGATCAGCCGTTAACGGTTCGCAGCGGCCGGCCTGGGACTGACGTGATCTCCTCCCCCTCCTGTCAGTCAGTCAGTCAGTCCCGCGTTTGCTGCTAGGGAAGCTCGGCAGGCCTCTGCTTCGGATTGAGAGGGTTTTGGGGGGGCGGGAAAAGCATGGCGAGGGGCAATCTGAGGCCCGGGTGGTCTTCCCGGTGTCCCTGTTGCTTGTAGTCCCCGCACGGGAAGGGGGCTCGGAGTAGGCCTCTGGCGCTCCCCTTCTCTCGCTTGCCGTTTCCTCATTTCTGTCGCCTGCTGGTGAATGAGCTTTTAAACCACGCTTTACATGTAAACTGGGTGAAACCAGACTTCTTAATAGCAGAGACTGTGAGAGGGATCTTGGAGTCTTAGTGGACAATCAGCTGAATAAGAGCCAGCAGTATATAGCTGCAGCCAAAAAAGCCAATGCGATCCTAAGTTGCTTTAAGTGAGGGATACAATCAAGATCAAGTGAAGTACTAATACCACTCTATAAAGCCCTAGTAAGACCACACCTTGAGTACTGCGTTCTGTTTTGGTCACCACACTATAAAAAAGATGTGGAGACTCTAGAAAGAGTGCAGAGAAGAGCAATAAAGATGATTAGGGGATTGGAGACTAAAACATATGAAGAATGGTTGCTGGAATTGGTTATGTCTAGTCTAATGAAGGGAAGGACCAGGGGAGACATGATAGCAGAGAGGAGGAGGTCAAGCTATTTTCCAAGGCACCTGAAGGCCAGACAAGGAATAATGAATAGAAACTAATCAAGGAGATATCAACTTATAAATAAGGAGAAATTTTCTGACAGAACAATCAACCAATGGAGCAGTTTGCCTTCGGAAGTTGTAGGAGGTTCATCACTGGAGGCTTTCAAGAAGAGATTGGACTGCCATCAGTCAGAAATGGTGTAGGATCTTCTCCTTGAGAGGAGGATTGAACTAGATGATCTACAGGTCCCTTCCAACTTTGTTAATCTGTTATCTGTTAAAATCTCATGGCAGGAAAGGATTCCTCCCCCCCCAGGAGAACAAGAGGGAATCCCCGATTCGTCCTCCTCTTCTACAGAAACAGATCCCTCGTATTAAAAAATAAAGGGAAAAAAAGACATGACTCCGAATCTTCTTTTCCCTGAGCCGATAGTCTTCTGCAGGCGGGAAAGATTCCTTCTGTCAGTGGGAGAGAGCCAGTAGCCACATCACGCCATCCAATCTGACAAGGTCTAACTTGCCTCTTCTGGATGTGAAAGATGGCAGTTGCTGGCTGATCCCGACTGGGAAGTGAAATGCAGCTGGAACTGCTTAGCTTTTCGATGGGAGACCACTAGGTGATCACAGGCTGCAGGATAGATTGGGAGGCTGAAAAACATCCCGAAAGAGAAGCTCATGCTGTGTGCCTAAAATGCATTCTCAATTTGTTTGTAATAAGACCCATGGACTCATCAAATCATCTGCACCAATAGAAAATATGTGTAGTTTAGGATTGAAATGGGGGAGTCTTTGTTGCTCTCTTGAATTATTTTCTTTACCCATTTTCATTACGTTTTATTACCCATTTTCAAGAAAACAACCAATCTCAATAGAGCACCAAGGTCCTCACACATACCAAATCTGTTTTGCTTTTCTGTTCTGAAACTTTTATTTTTTCAACCATTTCAATGTTACAAATGTGGATCTGGGGCACAAAATGATTGCAATTTAATGCTGGAGTAAATTTCATTCAGGATACAGCAACTTTTCTTCCTCCCCTGATGAAATATCATTTTTGAAGAAAACATAATTTTCTGTGATGTCCAGGCTTGGAAAAATAAGGTCTGGTTGAAACCAAAATGAAGAATAATAGTTTCCTGGGCATTGAAATCAGAAGGAATTATGGGTAGTTTCACTCTAAATCTCTTTATATAAATGAAATGAGATGGGGAATATGTGAGACTAAATAAATATATCTTATAATAAAGCAGTTTTCTTTGCAAGAACTAAGCTAAATTAAGATTTTTTCTGGTTTTTCATTTCCAAAATTTCTGCCTTTCAACATGTAAAATGAAGTGTTCCTAGGCAATTTATTTGATGAGAAATAAAATGAGTTCAGTGCAAGAAAGAATTATCATATGTTCTTTTCCTAGAAGTTTCAACAGATACCAAATTATCTTATATATCGTAATTCTAAATGGCATAATAAGAAGGAATGAAGTTTTTAGAGATCTAGACACATTTATAGAGTATTTGGTGCACTGAATACATACTTGTTTTTAACGAAATAAATGTGAAATACAAGCATCTTTCATGCGATACTTACATCCAGGGGAAAGATGGTAGAAGTAAAACTTTCTTATCGTGCTACATTTCATTTTTCATTATTTTACATTTTATTTATTGCTGTCTTTGGTCAACTATGTGTTTATTATGTTGAGAGAGCAAGAGCTGGGTTTTTTTTTAAAGGAAGGCTTCATATAGCCCAGTTTTAATGAGCTGTGGTATTCATACAGCATGTTTAAATGTATTGGAGAAAAACTAGCAGATCAACAGTAGGATTGGGGAGTTAAATGTTAGCCCAAAGAACCCTAGAGGTCTTTCTCTGATTGGTCATGTCATGAACTAATGAGAGAGAGGTTTTTATTCAGTTTCTGGCAATAACACCTAGAATGCTGCCCCCCCCCCAAACTTGGAGTGATTTCAAAAGCTCTTTTATTTCTATTTTAATTCCCTTCCACATGATCACATGGGGTGAAATAGGGTTGGTAGGATAACTCAGTGCTTTTCTTCCCTTTCCTGCTCCCAACCAAAAGGTCTTTAAAAAAAAACTAAGCAAAGACCTAGGAATTATAGCCTTTCTCCCCAGCAGTTAGGGGAACGGCTTATACAAACCAGATGTCTTATATCGTTCACTGATGTCCAGCAACAAGTTTGTTGTTTAGCTTGATTGAAATTCTCTGGGAAAGGTGATAATATTAGCATGAATGTACGCAATGTATGTGTGGGAAAATGTGATTTGTTGTACCTAAGCATTTTTCTGAAACTGAAAAAAGTAACTTTTCACTTTCATGTTATATAGGTTATTCAACTTCTGAAAGATGGGAAGGCAAAGGAAGTTTCCTATAACGCTGTAGCTTCACACATCATTTCAGAAGATGGGGATAATCCAGAAGTTGGTGAATCTCGTGAAGTGTTTGATCTTCCAGTAGTAAAAGTAAATATTTAAAGCATTGTAACTATTGTTATAATGGATGGGCAGGACAAGAAGCAATGGATGGAAACTACTCAAGGATAGAAGCAACCTAGAACTAACAAGAAATTTCCTGACAATTAGAACAATTAACCAGTGGAACAACTTGCCTCCAGAAGTTGTGGTGCTCCAACACTGGAAGTTTTTAAGAAGAGATTGGACAACCATTTGTCTGAAATGGTATAGAGTTTCCTGCCTGAGCAGGGGGTTGACTGGAAGACCTCCATGGTCCCTTCCAACTATGTTATTCTATTGTATTCTATTGTTTTAGTACAATTAATATTTTGATACAGAACATAAATGTTTCCAGATTTGCATGCAAAGAAATGCTATTTGTGTGTGTTGAGAAGGGAGAAAAGGGTCAAGTCCATCACTTTGAGCACTGTTTTGTCCATTATGAGCCTACTGGTAAACAGCAAGTTAAAGCCTTATCTCAGATCCCTGGCACACCACCACCACCACCCCAAAAAACCCCTACGTTATTGGACTTAGGATTGATAGTCCCAGTTATCTAGCTGGCTAAGAAGGGCATTGATGTTTAATGAACATACTTATAAAGAAATATCCTTACTGTTGCCTTGTACAAGTTATCATATGTTTCAATAATATCCAATCCCTTTCAATATTTGGAACCTTAATAATAAATCAATTTTATTATAATCACATCAGCATAGTTTGAAATACTAACATGAACGTAAAACCCACAGATTATTAATTGTTTACATGTAGAGGGTTCCTATTCAGTACTTTATATCTACAGATAGGCCTGGGAGAAATTGTTTGAAAACACACAGCTGTTTCCAATTAACAAAGATAATACAGACATAAACAATCCTTTTAAGCCTGATAAGATAGCTTAATAGCAATAGCACTTAGTCTTATATACTACTTCACAGTGATTTACAGCCCTATCTAAGTGGTTTAAGAAGTCAGCATATTGCCCCCAACAATTAAATATAATGAATGAATAATAATCAGGTGAGTGTATATGCTTATGTTTATAATTAGATAGCTATTCTTAGATATATAAATATTTACTTATTATTTTTAAAAACCTATTCTAGCCTTCCTGGGTGACTTTGTCTGTTCAGTGTGGAGCTCTTCTGCCGTATCCTTTCCAGTGAATATGTTAAGAAATTATATAACATTTGATGTTTTTAATATAACTTGCTTTTTAGCTAGGCAAGAAATTGTTTAAGAGAATTAATTAAAGGAAGGTCCTCCTATATTTTAATGCTCTTGCGAGGTCCAGTTGCTTAATTGAAACATTTATTTTTTCTTTCTTTGCTAGTCCTTTGAAATTTTTGAGAGAATGTATATTGAAATTCCTGTTTGTTCAAAAGACAAACTATTCACTCAAATAATCTGATAATTTTATAGCAGAAGGGTTGTGATCTCAACTCTACCAAATTCATTTCTTGATTGCATAATGCTAGATTAGTTTTCTTTCTGCTCTCTCTTTTTAGAAAACTTGGTATGCACAAATCTATACATAGTTTCTTATGAAGTTTGGGAAATTTTTCATTTGTTTATGTTAATACATTTTACATTTTATTTATGTTATTTCCTTGACTTAATTTTGTCAGAGTAAATGGCTTTTCTCCAGAATCCTGTCAGATCTTTTTTGGAGTTGCTGCTTGTCTGTCTCAGGTAAAATATTTTACAAAGCAGCTAAATGATATTCAAAATAAATTCAAAATATTTTTAGCTAAAGTACCTTGCATTTTTTGGTAGGTATCCTCTGAAGATCGGACTATGTTGTGGGCTTTGATTACGTTTTATGGTGGGGATTGCCGTTTGAGCCTGAATAAAAAATGTACTCATTTGATTGTGCCTGAACCAAAAGGGGTAAGAATTTTAATGCATGTTAATGTTGTTTTAGCATATGGAATGCAAATCAATGGCTTGTAAGTATGTTACCATTTTAAGAGGTTTCAGCAATATGTAAGTAGAGTAATGTGGAAGTCATTTCATACATTTGGCTAAGATATTCCTAGGCAAAATTATGTTTTGGGGACTGATAAAATATTCTGATGAATGATAATGCATTTTAGTTTATTAGTTTTGTATGCCGCCCACTCTCAGAAGACTAACATTTTAGCTTATGTTATTTTCAAATAATTGGTGTCACAGCTAAAATAGGTGTTACCAATAAAGAGAATAGTATAGAATAGCTCAGGGTTGAACTGTGGGGCCTTTGGTGCTCTGAGTTTGGTTGTTTTCTTGCAGATGTTTCATTACCCCGCTGGGTAATATCATTAGTAGTAGGGGGGTATGGAGCTTTTTCTCTGGAAGGTGTGAGAAAAAAGGAGGTGAAAACAGTAACAGGACTGGAATACCTGCTATTTACTAAGGAAAGACTGTTGCATAATCCAAATGCCACAGATTTTACCATCCATTTGTTTAGTTGAAATTTTATTTACCTTTTATTAATTAACTATTACATAGTTCTATCTAAATTAGGAGTAGGAGTAGGGGTAGACTTTGGGTAATTATTTATAAAGTAAAAAGATCTATGTAAATCAAGGCATTTTCCCAGACCATAACTTCCTCTCCCCCAATTAAAGTAGCATAAAAAAACCTAATTAGCCACCAGTAATAACCAGGTTAGCAATTGATTGGCCATTGAAAAACAAGCATTTTTAATACCCCATGGCATTTCAGAAGCGAGCAGGCTGGATACAGTTATCATGTCAATTTGTTCTATAGCATTAGGCCCTTGATCAAAGACATCTCCTTTCAGATACATGTTCCTCTCATCTTTTGAGAAGATAAGATTCTAAACAGGTCCTCTCTAGATAACCTCATAGGATGGACAGGAAAGGGGTCCCCAATATAGTCTGATGCTGTGCCTTGTAGGGTTTGGTAAGTAATGACTAGCATTATGAATTCAGCTGAAATACCTGTCAGTAGGAGCAGCCAGTTGACCAATTACAGAGAAAGTAAGTTTCACCTATCAGCAATCTGACATTTGAAACTTTTTGAATTCATTGTTTGCATTTATAATATTTACATTTCAAATATTTTTGTTCTTTCCAGGAAAAATATGAATGTGCCATTAAACGAGAGAACATTAAAATTGTGACACCTGATTGGATTCTAGATTCTATAGCTGATAAAACCAAAAAAGATGAGGTTCCCTATCACCCCCGTTTAATAATATATGAGGAAGAAGAGGAAGAGGAAGAGGAGGAGGAAGAAAATGAAGAACAAGATTCCCAAAATGAAGGGAGTACTGATGAAAAGTTATCAAGTCCACCATCTTCTCAAGAAGGGTCTCCTTTGGGCAATCGAACTTTTTCTCCTAAGTCTATTGATGCTGACAGAAACAAAGGAGAACTTATGTTTGATGATTCATCAGATTCCTCTCCTGAAAAGCATGAAAGAAATTTGAACTGGACCACAGCTGAAGTCCCACAGACTGTTGCCAGAAAGCACACATTGACTCCAGGCAAGGACTCTGGATTGATTAATTTGTGTGCCAATGTCCCACCTGTCCCAGGCAATATTTTGTCCCCTGATATCAGAAGTAATATAATGGCTTCAGTACAAACTCCGCAAAGTTCTGGACATCCTGAAATGATGACAACATGGAGTCCTGCAGTCCGGACACTAAGAAATATTACCAATAATGCTGATATTCAGCAGGTTAATAGGCAATCAAATGTAGCACATGTAAGTACTTTTAAAGTATATGTTGATAAAACATTTCTTGAAAATGAACACTTTCTCTCTTAATGTTATATCAGTAGTTGGGATTTTCCTGAAGTAACCCGTGCCGAATTGCACACTTGTGCAACACACTTGTCACCTATCATAATGAAGATTTTGTTGTTGGTTTAAGATTTTCTGTTTGGAGTTCTTAGACCTCTCTTGATCACCCTGGATTTTTTGAATACAAAAGGATCCTAACTGGTCTGTGAACGTCAGAAATAAAAGGAGCATTTTGAAGAGAAAAATGATTGTTTTGTTGTTAAAATGTAGGATGTTTTCTGAAAGTCTAGTGGAGTATAAAAATATAATTTAAGATGGCATTTTTCTTTTCAACACAGTCTTGGATGTTTACATGGTAAGAATTCTATTTGCTTATATATGTTTTAGTGAACTACCTGTAACATTTTTGAAGTCTTAGCTAGAAGCAATTATCCACAGCCTAATTAGGACAGCTCTTTAAGAACCTTCAGACTTCAAGTCGTTCTAAGTGTAATTAACCTAGGCATAGTATCAAGAAAGCATTTCTACAGCAGTGTTGCAGGTCTCAGCGGTACAAGTTATTTTTCAGATTAAACTCCAAATATTGGTCTATCAAAATCTATATATATAAAAGTCAACTACCACTCACTCATCAGAAAATCTCCACAATGGTAAAGCATATAAACTTGAAATTTGGAACGTACATTTCTCTTGGCTTCTAGGTGCTCACTAAGAAAGGATTTTTTGAAGTGACCATCAGATCATCAGTATTCCTTATACAGTATTATATTATTTAACAAGTGTCATTACTAAGGAGTTAGACGTTCTACTTCCCCTCGGTAGATCGGGCGTGGGCGTGGCCAGTGCGTGACTCATCCAGCCTGTGGGTTTTACGTATCAATTTATCAAGCCCAATCACATAGCTTCGTAGTGAAGGACGGATATCCAGCTAGTATCTAATAAACTAAGGAAATTTTTATTTCATTATATGTGCCTCGTTTACTAAGATTTAGGAAAGTCCCCTTGACAGTAATATCGCTTTTCAAAGTTATGGGAGTGATGCACTTTATTCAGAATTGTAATGTCTCCCATACTCAGCTTTTGAAAGCATGCTAGAAGAGGGGTGACAAACTCGCAGGCCAGATGCATCATGCATTGGCTATGCTCACCCCCAGTACAGCAAACAAGGAAAAAGTCGTGATATGTCACATGACGACTGTGTGATGCCGCAAGTTTGACACCCGTGTGCTAGAATATTTGCTTTCATTTTGCTTTTAATGTTCTTTAAATATATTTAATTCAGTCTTACTGTATTTATGTTTTTATTATTTGATTCGTTCTGAATTATCCTGGTAGCTTTATTAGATAGCTTTATTAGAAATATTAGGAAAAAATAGAACTATAACTATAATAAAGCTTCTGTGTTGTTTTCTAGATCTTGCAGTCACTTTCAGCACCCACAAAAACTTTGGAGCCACAGATGAACCACAGCCAGCAGGGGCATCCCAACACAGTCTTGCTTAGCCAGGTCAAACTGGCACCAGAAACACGCTTAGTGCAGCCGCCTCCGCCTCAGCATCACCAGCCTCAGCAACAGCCGCCACCGCAGCAGCAGCAGCAGCAACAGCAACAGCATCACCATCTCTTGCATCTCCAAGCCCAGCAGCTCCTGCAGCTGCAACAGTCCCAGCCGCCACAGGCTCAAATTCCCCAATCGCCTTTCCAACAGCAGCCGCATCAGTTTGCCCAACAGCAGCAAGTCCATCAGCACCAGTTTCCTCAGCAGCAGCAGCAGCCACAGCAGCAGCAGCAGCCACAGCAGCAGCAACAGCAGCAACTCCCCTTCCCTTCCCAACTGGTACACTCCCAGCAACAAATGCACCGCCCCCCACAACCCATGCCATTTCAGCAGTTGCATCGATTGCAACAGCAGCACCTGCAGCAGCAGCGGCAGCAACAATTGCAGCTTCAGCAGCAAAACCTTCAGCAGTTACAGCATCAGCATCAGCAGCAACAGCAACTTCAGCAGCAACAACTCCAGCAGCAGCATTTACAACAAATGCAGCAGCAGCAAATGCAAATGCAAATGCAAAATCAGACACCACAACACTTGACTCCAACATCTCAAACACTACACCATCAAGTTCCAATTCAGACCCAACAGAATCCCCAGCAGCAACAACTGCAACAGCACCAACTGTTTGGACATGACCCATCTGTAGAAAGTAGGTTAATTAGTTATATGCATCCTAACTTGTGGTTAGTGTTTCATCCTATTTTCCCCAAAAGATCAACCCTGTGAGATAGATTAGTGATTAATCTATTTTGTTCTTGCACATTGAGGCAAAAAATTTTAAAATGAGGGGGGGGGGGGAGATTTTGGCTGTTAAATTATTGGTTAGTAGTAAATCAGCTATAGTAAACTTGGTAAGAATATATTAGCAAGCACAGTATCCATGACTAGTACAAAAGGCAAGCCTTTTCCCTTCAGTGGATTTCTGAAAGAAGGAAGCCGTGTTAGTAGATAAGCAGAGCATTTCTAAAACGGCTGTGCTGTAACCAGTTATATATGAAGAACCAAAGAAATCAAAGACAGCTACTGTCCTGAGGAAGTTCTTATACATAGATAAAATGCTTAAAATATTGCTCTTAGGACTTTTGGACCTCTGTTTAGTTCTTTAAGTGTCATCAATTGGATTGACCTAGAAATAATTTCTGGCCTACCTAACTTCATACTAGAACCACTAGAACAAAATCAAATTACTCAGTTGCATTGTGCTTCAAATAGTGATTTCTCAAATATAATGGTTAAATTGTGAATGCAGTTAGCACTTGAATCCAATATGTTTCCTTCTGTCAGTTTTTTTTTTTTAAATATCGAGTATATCTGTCAAACCTTGTCCTCTCAAAACATTCAGTCCACACATTCGCATGGATTGCAACTTTCTTATAGCAGTATCAGACAGGTAGACATGCTTAACTTCTGCCTCATGGGACTCCTTTCTCAACAATCCATTCCCACATTTCCTGTTTCATTCTAAACTAACGACTATACGGACACAACTGATTTCCGCTGCTGTCTGCTAAGGTACTGGATGACAGGGATGCAATGTGCAAATCACAAAGTAGCAGTCTAATTGTTGTTAGTATTTTTGGAACCTTGGGATATTATTGGTCAAAATATAGAGCAAAACAATGTAATTTGTTCTCAAACACAATTCTCAAGGTTGAACTTTCTTTCAATCTTGGAATCTGTAAAATGGCTATTTGGGAATTGAGATGCTTTGCACATATTTAGCAAGAAAGCCTCTTGCTGAGTTTGAAAGACAAGACCAGACATCTGCATTTCAATATTGATCGGTTTGAGAGGAACCAAGTTTTAAATGTACATAACATTGTTGCATTAATTATAATTTAAGAGAAAAAAGTGCTTTAGATTAATTTCAACTGCATTGTTTTTTTCAGTTCCTGAAGAATATTTCTTACTGGGTTGTGTCTTTGCAATTGCTGATTATCCTGAACATGTATCTGATAAACATCTGCTGGGAACTTGGAAAAGGGTGAATATCAGTTCCATTTGTGAATATTTTTCAAATCAGAATTTCTAAGTACATTTTTAATGAAAAATCAAATTAACCTATTTTAAAAATAAATTTGCAGTAGTTTCTTTGTAACAAATGAATTATAACAAAATGTATATCTGTTTTTACCAAAAGATGCAGTATTTCACCACTGATTTAGGGTTTTCCCCCTGTTGATTGGGTAACTTCAAACATTTCTATATTTATTATGTTACACTGACATGTCTTTTCAGTTTTCTTAATTTTTATTTTAGGTAATCCATATTCATGGTGGTACAGTTGATCCTACACTTACAAGCCGATGTACACATCTTCTTTGTGAAAGTCAACTTAGCAATATGTATGCACAGGTATGTCAGAACACCATGTATCATTTCTAGTTAAGGTAAAAGTCTGATAACTCTTTCTAGGTTTTTAAAATATAGTTTGTATAGTTTTTATTATCAGTAGCAGAGAGTGTATCCAATTAATATGTAACTCTTCAAACATGAGATCTTGAAGTTTGAAGCTTAATATATTGCCCTTTTCGTCCATAATATTTAACTACCATGGAAAATTTTTTGTTGGCTCAAACACAAGACAGTAAGGGTCTCATTGGTTCAAGAGTAAAACAAACAAAATTAAAGTAAACCTGAATTAAATCCAGGAATTTTTTCTGCTAATGTTAAGGGAAAAAACTTTACTTTGTTTGCTGGTTGTTCCAAAACACCCATCTCCAGTCTCCTGCACATGTTTCAGGCTTGCAGCTTCATTAATAACTTGGTTATGCTGACTCTGGAGAGAAGAATTAAATATGAGGAATAACACAGGATATGTGCCTGCAATTTTTCAAAGCAAATGCTTTTCCACAGTGCATAGGAATCAGCTTGGTCTAGAAACTAGGATACCATGAAAATGAGATTCAGTGGTGAAAAAAAATAAGGTTCTGCGTTTAAGAAAGTTTCTGCAAGAAAAACAAAATGAACAGGTAGATTGTGATACCCTGTTCAATAGTAGTAACTGTGAGAGGGATCTTGGAGTCCTAGTGGACAACAATTTAAATATGAGCCAGCCGTGTGCAGCAGCTGCCAAAAAAGCCAACACGGTTCTAGGCTACATAAACAGGGATAGAATCAAGATCACGTGAAATGTGAATACCACTTTATAATGCCTTGGTAAGGCCACCTTTGGAATATTGCAAACTCAGTTTTGGTCATGACAATATAAAAAAGATGTTGAGACTCTAGAAAGAGTGCAGAGAAAAGCAACAAAGATGATTAGGGGACTGGAGGCTAAAACATATGAAGAAT